TTCGCCTCTTCCCCATCCGTGCGCCCGAGCTTTCGGTTCAGCGCGCCTCCCCTATCTCGCCGCTCGAGCCCACCCCTGCGCCGCCGAAATTTCGTTCAACCAACAGGTCTCTCTGCCCCCCTGAGGAGAGGAGAGGAGAGGAGTGGAGAGGAGAGGGAGAGGAGAGAGGAGAGAGGAGCGAGGAGATGGGGGGGGGGGGGGGGGGCAGCCTCGAGATGATCTGGTTGCCCTTGACGATCTCGCCGGCCGAGGCGGTGAGCTTGGCCTGCAGCTTGGCGGCCTCCTCCTTCTGCGCCGCCACCTGCTCCTCCAGCCGCCGCCTCGCGTCCGCCGCCGCCTGTTCAATCACACCAACCGAGTGGCTATTCCTCTTCCCCATTCGTACCGCCTCGCGTCCGCCGCCGCCTCGAGCAGCGACGACGTCTTTGCGACGAGCGCGTCCTTGTCGGCGGTGCTCGCGCTCAGCGCGGCAACCTCGATGCGCGAGGCGCCGGCCGCCTTCTCGAGGGCGTGGTTGGCGGCGGCGAGGCCGCTGTTCTCGCGGCGCAGCTCCGCGGTCTGCTCGCGCAGCAGCGCCGCCTCCTGCTCCGCCCCCTCCAGCCGGTGCGTCGCCTCTCGCGTCGCCAGCCGCGACTCGTGCAGCTGCGCCGCCAGCGCCGCCGCCCGGCTCTCCGCCTCTCGGTGCGCGGAGCGAGACTCGGACAGCTCCGCCTGGAAGCTCTCCCTCAGTCGCTCCGCCGCCCCCTCCGCCGCCTGCGCCGCCTCCTCGCGCGCCGCCGCCGCCGCCTCGGCCGCCTCGGCCGCCGAAGCGGCGTGCAGCGCCTGCAACGGAGGTCAGCTCACGCGCAGGGAGAGGTCCTACTCGTGTCCTCTATCTCGACTCTATCTCGACTGCACCTCGGCTGCACCTCGGCTGCACCTCGGCTGCACCTCGGCTGCACCTCGGCTGCACCTCGGCTGCACCTCGGCTGCACCTCGGCTGCACCTCGGCTGCACCTCGGCTGCACCTCGGCTGCACCTCGGCTGCACCTCGGCTGTCTCTCGGCTGTCTCTCGGCTGTCTCTCACCTTCAGCTCGACGATCTCGCGGCGGCGGCCGTCGTCCGCCAGGCGCAGCCGCTCCGCCGCGTCGGCGTGCGCTGCGGCGGTCTCGGAGAGCTGAGCCTGCTCGTGGCCCAGGCAGGCGCGGGAGATGGGGGAGATGTGGGGAGATGTGGGGAGATGTGGGGAGATGTGGGGAGAGCTGAGCCTGCTCGTGGCCCAGGCAGGCGGGGGAGATGGGGAGATGTGGGGAGATGTGGGGAGATGTGGGGAGATGGGGGAGATGTGGGGAGATGTGGGGAGATGTGGGGAGAGCTGAGCCTGCTCGTGGGCCAGGCAGTCATAACACACCACCGTGCGGGTGTGAGGAGTGCACGGGGGAGGACAGTCCGTGTGTACGAGGCCCGTGCTCCTCCCGTGCTCCTGCCGTGCTCCTGCCGTGCTCCTGCCGTGCTCCTGCTGTGCTCCTCCCGTGCTCCTGCTGTGCTCCTGCTGTGCTCCTGCTGTGCTCCTGCTGTGCTCCTGCCAGCCCTCGCACCAAGTGTGTGCTCTCACGGCTAGGCTGCGGTGTGCGCGAGCTCTTGCTGCTCGGATTGGGGTGAGGGGGGGGTCCGAGCTCTCCTTGAGGATGGGGTGGGGTACTTGGCAGGGGCGTGAGAGGGCCTGGGCGAAGGCGAAGGTCAGGGGGCA